TCTGTCTGTGTGTGTGTGTGTGTGTGTGTGTGTGTGTGTGTGTCTGTGCGCGTGCGTGTGTGCGTGTCAACGAGTGCGCATCCCGCCCGTCGTTGCAGAGTGCTGTGCTCGCGTGTCCTGCCCGGAGGAGTTGGGCGCGCGCTGTGACGGCACGTGCATGTCATGTTCCTGAAACGCTGGACTTGGAAAAAAGGAAACGAAAAAAAGAAACTTGAGTCAGGCGATGAGCTGGCGTACTGATGGAGTCACGTGAAAGCTAAAAGAAACTTGAGTCAGGCGATGAGCTGGCATACTGATGGGGTCACGTGAAAGCTCCCTTCAAAAGAAGCATAACCAGGACTTTCCACTTCTCGACTTGAGCGCGGCATCCTTGCATGCGCAGGTGCCACATGCTAATCTTCTCTGGATGCGATGCCCGACTACCAGAGTCCTTCATCAGGCTTTCACCGACCGATCAAAACGTGATTGCCTGCGTCAACGCGTGTGTTTCTCTTGTGCTGTCATGTCCTCTATACACAATGAATACCCATTTCATGGAAAGTGGACATTTTTAGGAAACTGGGTAATTGTTTTATGAAGCAATTTATATGCATAAATTCGTAATTTGTTTATTAAAAAGTCAACACTCCATAAGTTATAGAAACTTAAAATTCTCATTTTCGTGCCTGTTTCATAAAATTGGGAAAATTTTCGAAATGCCCCTAGAACGTTTATTTATTTGCGATTTGCCCCTCGGACGGCCGAGAGACCCTGATTTGCCCCTCTGACAACAATCGAACTTTCCAAGAAACCCCTGGCGTCGTTTGGGCCTGAAATATGTCGAAAAATGCCCCTATGGTACCGTTCCCAAATTTCGAATACGCCCCTACCGGATAGCCATTGACTATAAAGTTTCCATATGCCCCTACAGGTACTGGGCATCTTTTCAGCATGCCCGTTGCCGCCCGTTGCTGCTCGCTGCAGCCGGCTGCCTCCCCGCCCGATGTGTGTGTGTGTGTGTGTGTGTGAGAGAGAGAGAGAGAGCTACGGCGCCCGCCCGTTGCCTCCCCGGCCCCTGTGTGTGTGTGTGTGTGTGTGTGTGTGTGTGAGAGAGAGAGAGAGAGAGCGAGAGAGAGAGAGAGCCCATGCATTCAAACTCTGAATGTATCTTCCGTATCTGGCGCAGATAATGCATCGCACACATGTAGGCTACTCTGTGTGTGTGTGTGTGTGTGTGTGTGTGTGTGTGTGTGTGTGTGTGTCTGTGTCTGGGCGCGTGCGTGTGAGACAGAGAGAGAGGGCGCCCCGCTGTTGTCTTGCGCTCCGGCCCACTGCCCTCTACTGCCCGCTGCGGCTCCATGTCACCTACTCCGGCTGCCTCTCTCTCTCTCTCTCTCTCTCTCTCTCTCTCTCTCTCTCTCTCTCTCTCT